TTCGAAAGAAAGAATTTATCACACATATAAATACACACAGCCATGCTTAAGCACGAAGAACTATTGTGCTAATCAGTAGAAGACTTTGAAAGTTCAGAGTCGTAAACAAAGAGATTCAAACTTAGTTCATAGACTCAGAATGAGTCTAAATTCCAAAATAGAACCCTAATCCAAACACGAGATCAACCTCGTCAAAACCCCCAAATTCTAAGGTTTCTACTTCGAATCAGATACAGAGACGAGGAGGTAGGTAATTGAAACAGGCTCAGAGAACTCTTTCAGAGACTCATGAGAAAACAAACAGATACAATAGCAAGTTTGAAGCAAACAGAGTAAAGAAACTGATTTGAAGCATAGTGAGGGTAGAAGGAACATGTTTAAGAAACCTGGGACTTAAACAAGTTCAGAAGAGAGGTAGTATAACACTTAAGGAAATAGTAGAGGAAACATGTTTAAAGGGAACTCAAACAAGGTCCAGTAGAAGGCAAACAAAACTTAAGAAGTCAGTATGAAATACATACAGTAGGAAAGCACAAAATACAGGAAAAATATAGCAAAGAACGTGTAGGAAAACACAGCAAGACAAACATGCGAGCATGGTCCAGGAACACAGTAGAAAAACAAAGCACAGAAGAATCATGTAGGGTAGAAAGAAAACATAAGAACATAGTATAGACAAATACACACAAAGAGAAGAAAAGTCCGAGAAACATTTTAAGCTTTTCAGGAAACCTTAAATCGGAAAGAAGTAAGTTTGAAAGAAAAATTGGGGAAAACGTTTTAAAAACTCAAGTAGAGCACAGATATAGAACAGATCTAAGAAAACAATCAGAGAAGACCTCGAATAGCTAGGGTTTCAAAGGAACCCTAAAGTGAGAAAGGCTTGAAAAAGGTCCGATCTAAGTCGGATAAGTCAGACATAGGCTCATAATGCTTGGATACGCCGGAGCAAGGTCGGAGAGGCCATAGACCCTTGAATCGGAGAAGATCTGAACGGACACCATCGAGGTCAGACCTCGAAACTTCGAACACCAAGCGTTCAAGAGCAGAGGGAGATGAGTGTAGGCCATCCATGGCCTGTGAGGCCATGGATTCCGGTGAGTTTGAGGTAGAAGACGATTAGGGTTTCAGGAACCTTCGAGAGAGTTTGAGAGAGGAGAGTGTTTGGAGGCGACTGAGAGAAGAGAATGAGGGGATTAGGGTAGTCGTTTAGGTTTAATTATGGAAGGGTGGATAGGAGCCGTTGATCTCAGAGATCAACGGCCCATATCAAAAGGGCTTGGGCCGGGTAATTTAAAACGGGTTAAGGGTTGGGTTAAATGGGATTGGGCTGGTCCGAAATTGGGTCAATTAGGGGAGCCAATTTTGGCTATAATTGGAATAAAATGAGGCCAGATTTTAAATAGCCAGTTTTCCCTTTCTATTTTATAAAAATAGTAAAAAATGATTGTGAAAGCAAACTAAAAGTACTGGATCAGTTAAAAATATATAAATATTAATTTAAAAATATTGGAACCAATTTCATAATTATAAAATGCTATTAATTCTTAAAATAGGCTAAAATTGCAATTACATGCAATTTATCTTTTAAAATACCAAATAATTTGTAAAAAATGTATAAAAATTACCTTAGCTATATTTTGGTATAAATATGAAATTAAAATAAGTTACTCACCAAAAATGATAATTTTGGGAATAATTATTGGTTTTTGTACTGCTAAAATGGACAATAAATTGATTTAAAAAATCTTTAAAAATTGGGAAAAATACTAAAACACTTGGGCATACTTATATATATGCTATTTTGAAAGCATTTGTATGTAAAAAATACATAGGGAAAAAATGGGTATCAACATCCGTGCCATAAGCAAATCCACGAAGGTACGAGTATACCACATACGTGTAAAATTCCACTCCTCAGGGAATGGCAAAAACTCCACGGGGATAACATCAACGGTCTGTACTCGAATGAACCGGCTCATCCACTCCTGATCTCCGTCTTCTTCATCATCAACAACGAAGGGTGTGGTGGATCTACATCGTAAGGTTAGCAGACCTCGATGGTGAAAAGGACGGTGCAGCCTGATAAGATGACTGAGCGTGAATTCAAGTCCTGCTCTCTCCGCAAAGAACCTCATCATCAATACTATCCGCCAAAATGACGGATGAATCTGCGCCAAGGTGACCCGGTATTTTCGATAGAAATCAAGCACAACCCTATCAGGGGGGCCTAACGTGAAGGGGTACGTGTACACGTTCAAAAACCCCTCAACGTGATCCATAACGCTCTCTCCCGGGAAAAGTACACGCAATACTACCTTCTCCCTCCATCCAAAGTCTCTCCTCACTGATTCGAGATGATCCTCTCCTACTAAGGAAATAAACCTCGAAACATACTCCCGATGACCCCGAGCGTCTAGGTTCAAAAGGCATTCAAGGGCGGAACTCCCCTCTCCTCGCCGAGCGGACCTTGGTGTGGCAGCCATAACTATGATAAGACTAGAAAATCCGAGCAAAATCCTCAGAATCGAAATGGTGAAAGCCTTGACACAAGAAAAGAAAGCTCCACGAAGGAAGACAACTACTTAGAATAGCAGAATCATCAGAAGGGGGAAGGTAACCCTATATATGGAAAAAGCAGCGACTACCCACCTGCCACAAAGGCCGATTAAAAATACTGGTTGAAACATTTCTCGTTTTGGAAAAATGTGCCAACAGAGTCGCCTCGGTCATTTTGTAACCATGCCATGCACTTGACGCCGCCAGACGACGTTTTGGGGTCAGCGACCCCCGCATTAACCAAGTCCCGAGATAGTACCCGATCTCGAGGACCTCCGTCAAAAAGAAGATAGGCTCCAAGAAGCCACTATATCATTACAAGTCCTGAGATGGTACCCGATCTCGAGGACCTCCGTAAAAAAGAAGATAGGCTCCAAGAAGCCATTAATATCATTACAAGTCCTAAGAGGGTATCCGATCTCGAGGACCTCCGTCAAAAGGAAGATATGCACCGGGAAGCCATTGGCATCATTACAAGTCCCGAGATGGTACACGATATCGAGGACCTCCGTCAAAAAGAAGATATGCTCCAAGAAGCCACTATATCATTACAAGTCCTGAGATGGTACCCGATCTCGAGGACCTCCATCAAAAAGAAGATAGGGTCCAAGAAGCCACTATATCATTACAAGTCCTGAGATGGTACCCGATCTCGAGGACCTCCATCAAAAGAAGACAGGCTCCAAGAAGCCATTAATTTCATTACAAGTCCTGAGATGGTACCCGATCTCGAGGAACTCCATCAAAAGAAAGGCTCCAAGAAGCCATTAATATCACAACAAATCCCAAGATGGTACCCGATCTCGAGGACCTCTCCCAAGAAGAAATTAAGCTCTAAAATGAGCCACTCATATATAAGCTTAACCTCGGGGTGGCACCCTACTTCGAGAATTTGAGCTATCGCGAGCATGGATCGTCTACCCGATTCTCCGAACCTCAAATTACTAAGCTCGAGCCAAGTCCCGCTCGAAGGCCACCGATAAAGCATTAAGGATATCTTTCATTTTCAGATCAAGCTATCTCTATTCTCAGTCACCCGAGCAAACTCCCTCTCGAGGGGTATCGCGGGGTTTAAAGAGCTGAGTTTCGTTCCGAATGTTCGAGGCCTTACTCTTATCCAACTCGAAGTCAGGGGTCCCGACGATCCAAGTCTATCGATCCTACCCGTGGTCGGTCCGAGGGCCGGCAAAAGATTCCACAAGGAATCGGATTAATCAGTCAAGAGCCGGAGAAATACTTGCACCTGGGCTCGATATTCGCATTCAGATTCTTCGCAAGTACAGGTAAAAGGAAATAAAGCATAAATCAGAGACGAATTGAAGAAACATCTTTTCCATTAATAAACAACGGTTACAAAGCCCACGAAGGATTATGTCATAAGAATGACATCATCACGGAAAGTTTGAAGAGATGGATATCAAAGTCGTTTCTTATCGTTCCACTCTAAGAAACGCGAGGACTATCTGTGTACGGTAAAATCGAAGGGTCCAATTTTCGGCCATTATAACGCCTCGTGAGCAAGGTTTCCAAAGGCTCGAGACCACGGTCGAGATTTATCCCTAGGGGACATCAGTGCCCAACCTCGAGGCAACACAAGTCAATGGTTACGGTAGAACACTGGAAAGTTCCCTAGGCGCATGATTAGGGCTGACAAAACCTAGAGAGCTAGCTCTGACCCGTATCAGGGCATTGAGTGGCTATGCCTGCCCCATATCTTTGTAATTAATGCTCTTGTACTATGTTTCCCCTCATATATAAAGGGGAATCCTTGTCATTTGTAAGGTCGGTTGCTCAATATTAAGAAATACACGAACATTCTCTTTAACATATTCTCTTGAGTTCATTACTTCATTTATTGCTTACATTCATTGTGTTCTATTTACTGTTCTTCATTTGTTGCCTATCATTGATCATAAAAGAGCCATCATCATAGCTCTTATAACTATTATCTCCCCCTCGGCTGCCCCGAATCGGCCAGTCAGCTCGACTCGAGGTCCTGTAATCGACAGCTCGAGGTCTCCGATCTGCTACTATTTGGTTCAATTATCTTGCTATTTCTAAGCCATAACCCTGATTTCTAACCTTTTACTTGGCATCCATCGTTTAACAACTAGCATAAAAATAGATCACGTATTTTTAGAACCTCACAATCAAATTTAATTGTTAAAACCATTTTGACGGTAAACAAACTGGATTCACAGTCAAATAAATAGTGAAATATTTAATACATATATAGGGTCTGCACAAAAACTACCGAGGATTATGATCTGTACAAAAGGATATGGACTTGAATTAATAACCTCCAAAAGGAACCTAGTTGGAGATTCTTGTATAATCCTTAAATGATGCCTTTAACTCTTAAGTATTGTAATCTGCTCAATTGAGCCGAAGAGATTCTGTGATCTTAGCATCAACAGGATAGCCTAATGAATCGTTCGAGCTTTTTAATCTCCATGTCTAAGAGCAGTATTAAGGAGGACCGGCAACTTACAAGCAGCGGCAGAGCTAGAATGCTGAGAGCGAATTCGGTCGAACGCAGTAGTTTTGGTTCGAACTCTGTATTTGTCTTAAAAAACTTATAGCATATGTATAAATTATACATTAATTTACAAATGAGAATAAAGCAATCAGAAGTTGGTTCAGTCAATGCTTTCTTTTTTAAATAATGGTGGTGTTTGAGCCAAACTTGCGCAAGTCAATTCAATAGTTACATTGGCTACCTGCTACCTCCTATCAACCCAAGTACATGGTAATCTTTTGCCCACCAAGGCTAGGAGATGGGAAGTAATGACCCAGCATTTGTTTGTTTGTACTGGGATTTGAACATTGCTCTCCAATATTTGACCACTAGACCACGCCGGGTGTGGTTCACCAAAAGCTATCTGAATAACAGATTCTCAAAAGCATTAACCTACACCTATTTCCATATTGAGGCAAGGACTTACTTTATTAAACACATGCTACACTTATACACACACAAAACAAACATAAATTTCCATGTTTAGTGTTCATGCTTCATACCGTTTCCCGGTTAAGTAGAGCAATACAGAAAATCACTTCAAATAAACGATGTTTGACCCTCGGACTAGTAGATTCATTGCACTGATTAAAAGTCAGCATCTTCTTCAAGTGATAGAATGGATTTCAATTCCATCTCCTGCCGAGGCAAAAGATATGTCAATGCTGATTCCAAGGTGGCTGATGGTAACGTTTGCTGAAGATGCCTTAATACATTAATGATGCGATTCTTAGTTTCTTGTGTAGCAATATCATTTTCGAACATAAAACCTGTAGAAGAAGTAACACACTCAATTACCGAATGTTTACATATACATTAGTTTGGGTATGGTAGAGGCGGATCTAAGATTTTTATAACATGGGTGCATCACTAAGAAAAAGGAAAAAATAAAAGTATTAAGTGAGAATTGATCCCAATTCCTCTAGGTGAATAACTTAGCATTCAACCAAGTGCACCATTTAACCTTTTTGGAGCATGGATGCCAACAGGTAATATTTGATCAGTTCTAAAAAATATGTACATAAAATATCTAATTTGGCGGAAAGACCATGGGTTCATATGCCCCATACACTGGGTTATAGATTCGCTGCTGGCCACATCCACAATATGATGAAACGTTCATATCGGCAGATAATTAGTCGACCATTGTAACAAACCCGAAATTCCTCACTATATAATAAGAACGGGAACACTAATTACAACCTTGAAATACCAATTGCAACACTCAAACTACTATAATGGAAGCTAAGTAACTATGAATAAAGATAAAAATGGGGATGAGAAACATAACTCAGAGAAAGCGGATGAGGTACAGATTTGGAAGAGGAGATGAGAAGCACAGTCTTGAGCCGAAGCTTCAACATAATTCGTATCTCCTTTTTGCAGCACCTAATTCTCTTTTTAATACCTCGACTGCTGACCCTTCCTGGGTCCCACACAAAGTTTTCTAATATTTCAAACAAGCCCTTTACCTTAGTGTTTTGGTCAATCTCTGTGATGACCCAATAGGTCATCTAGAGTTCTAAACCTAATTTCTGTATTTTGAAATCCTCCAATAGCTTAGTTAAGCCTTCCTCGATTTGCGTGCACGGTCCTTATCATTTTTTTTGAAAGGCTTTTTTTCGTTTTTGACGGTCCCGGTGGATCAGTATCGTGATTTGGGACTTGGGCGTATGCCCGAAATCGAATTCGAAGGCCCCTGGTTCGAATTAATTATCGCATAATGTCGAAAATTTGAAGTTTAAAGGTTTAAAGAATTTAAAGATTTGACCAAAGTTTGAATTTATTGCTACCGGGTTTAGATTTTAGTTCCGGAACTTGGTATATGTGCATTACTATATTTACAACTTACCTACATAATTTGGTGAGAAACGGAGTTGTTTTGACGTGACTCGAGCGTCTGGTTGTTAAAATAGAAATTCTTAAGTTCAAATTCTACTTTATGGCCTTATCATAGTGGATACACCGGTTTACTTACTTTACATAAATAAAGGAGAAAAAAACAAAAAGAACATATACCTGTGCCCCAAAATCTCTTTACAAAGTCAAGTATCTTTGGTATTTAGGTTCAGATATTGATTTGTACTTAAAATAAATAAGCTAGTCTAACCACTCTAACCATAAATTGAAATTATTTAGCATAAAGAGTTGTTGTGGGATATATAAGATTCTTTCACATTAATCAAAGGTCTCGATTTCGAACGAGATTGAAAAAATCTGGATAGCGAATGTTTCCCACCTTAATGGGCCTTACTCAGACGAAACCGAACAGGCGAAGACCACTTTTAGGCCCCGACCAAAACGACTTACATCCGTTAGCTGTAAAAGAGAATAAAATTTATATATTTTTGTATATAACATATATAAGTGTATTACATACAAAAAAAATATAGAAAACAAATATATATTTCTACTATTATTTGAAGAGGAGCTATACGATGTCATTTTCCCAATTCGAATTAGTCAAAGTTCTATTATCATTGCTATTCAGATAGTTTATATCATACTGTCGTAAGGGTCATGCTATTATCTTTAAGCTCCGTCTAAAGGGCAACATGATGTTTTAAATTAAATCCATGCCAGCAGCAATTGAACAATACGCACCATTACAAGTGTTTATTAGTAGCAAGTTTTTCAAATAGAGGTGTTCAAATAGGAAAATCCAAGAATTCATATATCGGCTGTGCAAATTGATACAAGTTTAAGTGGTCACGAGGCCATTTTGCCTTTAATATAATACCGCGTTCAAAGATATCAAATTTCAGAAAGTCTTCTATATTAACACACAAAAGATTTTGGTTAGCGAAGTCAATGATATTGAAAAGAGCCATCACATCTTATGACATGGCCAACCAAATATAAATATTGAAATCACTTGATTAAAGAAGAACCAACATGTCTCAAGAAATGATAAAAATAGCCTTTTATGTTTGGGGTTAGGTTTGAAATAATCAAATTAAATATATTCTTGTGCAGTTTTAATCCTTTAAATTTATCAAAGTTAGCACTTTTGTCTTCTGTCAAATAATTTTAATAGGCTATGACTATTAGATTTAAAGAGAATGCGAAAAAAACGTTAAAATAGAAACTCACATTTTGAGGCATCTCATTTTTGATTTATTTTTGTGCAATTTTTTGCAGGTCTGTTTCTGGTGTATGGTGCAGTTTGCGGTTTCTAAGATTTGGCGAGACTTTTATAATGTCTCTGGTTAACTTTTTCCATAGTTCCCATTAAATCTCATGAGTTTATTAAGTATGTGACGGGAATCAAAAGTGCTCACTTTTGCAAATTTAAAGGACTATAGCAAAGAAGGAAGTTTAAGAAATCCTAAAATTGATGAAGGTCCAAATTTGACTGTACAATGAGACATATATCCAAAAGCAAAAAGAGTAGTAAATCTGTACATATAAACATCAATTTTGACATGGTTTTTATCGCAGCAAAATTGCAACATAATTTTGAACTCGGATTAGCTTACTTGGACCAACGTGGTGTTGAATCATCATTACCAATAATGACCAAAACATAATAATCAAGAAAGCATATTTACGGACACTAGGCACCTTTTAATTTGATCCCCTTTTAAACCTCGAAGACAATTTATTCATGTTGTAGTTAACTTTGGTTGATCCAGAGCTAAAAACCTAGGAAGAGTGAATATAAGTTGATGTAGAGGGGATCTTGGATCAGAGGTGAATACATGAAGTTTATAGGTTTTTATAGCAAATTTAAGTTAATATACTATAATAACTGGATTCACGGTCAAATATATAGTAAAATTTTTAATACATACTCCCTCCGTTCCAATTTATGTGAACCTATTTGACTGGGCACGGATTTAAGAAAAAATGAAGACTTTTGGAATATGTGGTCCTAAACAAGTCAAAAAGGGGCCCAGAGTATTTGTGTGGTTATAAAAGCTCCTCATTAAGGGTAGAATTGTAATTTTAAGCTAAATTGTTACCAAATTTAGAAAGGAGTCATTATTTTTAGAACGAACCAAAAAAAAAATAGGTTCACATAAACTGGAATAGAGAGAGTATATAGGGTGTGCACAAAAACTACCGAAGATTATGATCCGTACAAAAGGATATGGACTTGAATTAATAACCTCCAAAAAGGAACCTAGTTGGAGATTCTTGTATAATCCTTTAATGCTGCCTTTAACTCACTACTAGAAATTCGGGCAAATTCGTCCAAAAAATCGATCAAAGTTGGTCGGTAATGACTAATAACTATCCAAAACGCGATTATTTATGTGCGGACGGTATTTTGAAGGTCGGAAGGGCATACCGACCAAAGTTGGTCGGAAATTTGGTCGGATTAAATTCAAAAAAAAAAAATATTGCCGAAAAAACCAACCAAAGTTGGTCGGTATTTTAATTATGTAACTAAAAAATACACCATCTGAGAATCGAACTGGGGTTTGTTCTGTGGCAGGATACTATTCTACCACTAGACCATTGGTGCATTTTGTGTTAAGACTGTCTTTTATTTAATTTATACTCTTTAATTGTATTTTCGCACGATAATAACCGGCCAAAGTTGGTCGATTTTTTAAAATGACCGGTCGGTCGGTTTTATTAATATTAATTTTAAATAAAAATCAACCAAAGTTGGTCAGTTGCTTGAAAAATAAATTTCGTGGACCCAAAAATAGTTTCCCGCATTTTTGCGCCAAAGAAAACAGACCAAAGTTTGTCGGTTTCGTAAAAAAAAAATATTTTGAAAAATCGAACAACTTTGGCCGATTTTTTGACCGACCAAATTGGTCGATCGACCGTGGTCGGTTTTTGCCGAATTTCTAGTAGTGACCAAGTATTGTAATCTGCTCAATTGAGCCGAAGAGATTCTGTGATCTTAACATCAACAGGATACACTAATGAATCGTTCGAGCTTTTTAATCTCCATGTCTAAGAGCAGTATTTAAGAGGGCCGGCAACTTACGAGCAGTGGCGGAGAGAGCGGGTTCGTTCAAACCCAGTAGTTTCGGTTCGAATCTTATATTTGGCTTAAAAAATTAATTGAATATGTAACATATTCATTAATTTACAAATGAGAATAAAACAATCAGAAGTTGGTTCAGTCAATGCTTTCTTTTCTAAATCATGGTGGTGTTTGAGCCAAACTTGCGCAAGTCAATAGTTACATTGGCTACGTGCTACCTCCTATCAACCCAAGTACATGGTAAGTAATGACCTAGCGTTTGTTTGTTTGTATAGGGATTTGAACATTGCTCTCCAATATTTGACCACTAGATCACACCGGGTGTGGTTCAGCAAAAGCTATCTGAAATAACAGATTCTCAAAAGCATTAACCTACACCTATTTCCATATTGAGGCAAGGACTTTATTAAATATATGCTACACTTATCACACACAAAACAAACATAAATTTCCATATTTAGTGTTCATGCTTCCAACCGTTTCCCGGTTAAGTAGAGCAATACAAAACATCACTCCAAATAAACGATGTTTGATCCTCGGACTAGTAGTTTCATTGCACTGATTAAAAGTCAGCATCTTCTTCAAGTGATAGAATGGATTTCAATTCCATCTCCTGCAGAGGCAAAAGATATGTCAATGCTGATTCCAAAGTGACTGATGGTAACGTTTGCTGAAGATGCCTTAATGCATTAATGATGTGATTCTTCGTTTCTTCTATAGCAATATCTTTTTCAGCATCCGAATGTTTACATATACATTAGTTTGGGTTTGATAGGCCACATCCACAATATAATAAAACGTTCATATCGGCAGATAATTAGTCGACCATTGTAACAAACCCGAAATTCCTCACTATATAATAAGAACGGGAATACTGATCACAACCTTGAGATACCAATTGCAACACTCAAAATACTATAATGGAAACTAAGTAACAAAGAATAAAGATAAGAATGGGGATGAGAAGCAGAACTCAGAGAAAGGGGATGACGTACAGATCCGGAAGAGGAGATGAGAAGCATTGTCTTGAGCCGAAGCTACAACATAACTCGTATCTCTCTTTTGCAGCACCTAATTCTCTTTTTAATAGCTCGACTGCTGACCCTTTCCCTGGGTCCCACACAAAGTTTTCTAATATTTCAAACAAGCCCTTTACCTTAGTCTTTTGGCCAATCTCTTTGATGACCTGATAGGTCATCTAGAGTTTTAAACCTTAATTCTGTATTTTGAAATCCTCCAATAGCATCTTTAAGCCATGCTCGATTTGTGTGCATGGTCCGTATCTTTTTTAGAATGTTTTTTTCGTGTTTTGACGGTCCCGGCGGGTCCGTATCGTGATTTGGGGCTTGCGCGTATGTTCAGAATCCAATTCGGAGGTCCCTAGCTCGAGTTATCATATTTTGTCGAAAAATTGAAGTTTAAAGGTT